GACGCTTAACTTATATATATATATATATATATATATTATTGACTGGTGAATAATGTTTTTAAGGTTATTAAGGTTTCAAAAATAGGCTAATGTTCAATGTAAATAATCTAAAAGATTTTTGTAAATGTTTTTTCAGATGAAAATTTTGAATTACATGTAAAATTAGATTATCTCTGAAGATGCATGAAGAGGCGAAAATTTGGATAAAATTGAAATAAATTTATTATTTGTCGAGACTGAAAAAGGTCTTCTTCTACTAATTAATTAGTATTAATTAACTGTTGATAGATTAGCAATATTGCATCTTATGTTTTATATAATATAAAAAAATAACTATTTCTCCGATAATCGTGAATATTATGAGTAAATTATCATTTATTAGATAGGAGAAAATAAAAAAATTGTCTCACCTTGTAATAAATCGATCGTTGTTGATACATCAATGAAATTAATTAATTACATCGTATATCTCTACAATCGAATTTAAACAGTTCGGGTTATGAAATAAATATACAATCGATTTAATATAATTTCTCCCATATACTAGGTAATATTTCTCCCAATTTCTGCCGTCTCCCTGATAGTTATCTCTGGATCCGCCGCTGACTAATCATAATCATGAAGGCCGCGACTAATCATGCTACTAAGCTTATCAATATTGTGAGTGTAATTCGGTATATTTTACTAAACAATGAATATAGGTCTAGTTTAATTTAACTTTAGGCAAAATTGCCGTGACCCTGAGAGATGTCAGATGAGGGAGCTTCTCCGGGGCCCCAAACTTTCTAATACCTCAAAGTTTCCTTTGTATTATGTACTTCCAGCTTAGCCTCATTTGAATTGCAAAACCCTATCCTATTAATGTCAATTAATTTAGTCTAATGTCATTCTGTTTCGTCACTATATAGTCAACTCAGGGGACGAAAATGAAATCAACCAGTACAAGATTAAAGTGCGAAACTGTTTAAAATGTCATTATCGAAGATAAAGTAAGCTCCTGTAATAGGGCTCGTAAAACGGATGAACAAATTATATAAAGACGTTCTTGAAGATTGTTTTCTGATGATAATTCATTTATCTAAGTTAAAGTCATAACTCATTTACAACGTCCATTACTTGAGAATGTCACATCATGTATTAATTTAAGCATTAATCTCCTTCCATATAAGTCCCGTCAACTCCTGGTCTCCTCTCTTGTTTCTCCCCACCTCGACTATGGCTGTATGGTATACGGTGGACTCTCAGAAGATCTCGAGGACAAACTTAAACGCCTAATGAATTGCGCATTATGTTTTGTTTTCGGAACATCAAGAGATACGCATATTACCTAGTATTACACCGAGTTGAAGTGGCTCTATCCATCCTATCGCCGTCAGTACTTCCTAGCTACCTTTCTATACCAGATCATTAGAACTCATCGACCCTCCTATATTTTCCATAGCTTACAATTTAAATACTCCATCCAATCCCTTCCTACGAGATCTCGCACTTCTGACCTCTATCTCCCTCCTCACCGAACTGCTGCGTTTTAAAATCAAGCTGCCTTTTTCTGGAATTCTATCCCTGCTGATATTCGACACGCACAATCAGTTTCCTCTTTCAAACCCCTCCTCTTTAAACCCTTACTCCTATCTCAATCCGCCTGATCACGAAATATACCCAAGAGAGCTATATAAGTACCCCAGAAGATATTTCTGTTATTTAAGTTCTCTCTGGTTGTATTATGTACGCTTATTATGTATGTATATTTAAGCTTTTTATGTCTTTTTCTCTCATTCCGTCTGTATTTTTACTTTTAAATAACCAATAATGTAAATATCTACTCTATTTATGACTACTTACACATGAATTCAGCACTTATAATTTGTTCAAAGGAACAACAGTCCTAGAAAAATAAAATATATTTTCATTTCATTATCTTTATTCATTTCATTATCTTTATTCATTTCCTTTTATTTATTTATATACTCTGCAATTTGCACCTGCTCGGCATCGCATCTAAAAAATTTGTTATATGTATATTTGTTGGTGTAATTGCTTGATTTTGTTAGTAGTGATATAGTAGGTCTCTTGACCATTTCCGTTTTAATCTACGTCCTTCAGGTAACAGGGAGCAGAAGACTGAAAAAAACAGAGAATTGGTGTGATTTTTAGTTGGAATGTAGTGTATTTTTCGTGGATGTAGGATTTTACTGTAGGGGTGTTTAAGTCGTTATGTATAGTGTTATTTGAAATATAACAAGGTGCGTTAACGATGTTTCGTAAAATTTTGGATTGTGATGTTTGTATATTGTTTGTGTGTGTATGTTTTGCTGAACCCCAAAGTTTAATGAATGAATGAAAAAAATTGTTTTTTTAATGAAAAAATAATTTTATTCTGGTACTGACTTAGATGAATACAAAATTATGTCTAATTAACTGTTGATTGTTATTGTAATTGCGCAGTTGATTGAATTAAACAATGTATAGAGGCAAGTAAATTTTACATGTTTGGGAAAGTTTGAATATGGAGTAGGTGGTGGAGCAGTTGTTTGAAGGAATTTGTGGACGAGGATTGACGTATGGAGTCAGAGAGTTCCAAAAGAATGTAGAATGAATGACGAAGGATTTACTGAATGAAGTAGTTTTATGGGAGGGGATATATAAATCGATAGGTTGAGAGATTGGATAGAGGAACGTTGATTAAGGAATTCCAGAATGTAGGGAGGGTTTTTGGTTCTGAGGACTTGGGAAAGGAAAACACCAAGGAGGAATTGTAGTCGGAAAGTAGGATAAAGACACTTCAACTCAGTGTACCTGAATGAAACATGGGAACGCTTGGGGATCTCAAAGATGAATCTTAAGAAACAGTTCATGAGCTTCTTTAATCTCATTTCTAGCCTGGTAGATAGCCTTCCATACACCAAGCAGCCATAGTCGGAGTGGGGGAATAAAAGGAAGGTTATAAGGAGCTTTCTGGTTTTTAGAGGAATGCAATCACGGAATCTTAGGAGTTGTTTAAGGACAGTTATGGATTTTCGGGTAATCTGAGAGATATGGTTATTCCATGAGAGGTTCTGGTCAATGGTAACTCCTAGATTTCTGACTGTAAGGAAAAAATGGAAGGGGCGGTTATTGAGGTAAAGTAGAGGAAAATACGGAAGGGAACTAATGAGATGTCTGGACTCAATGAGGATAACTTTAGTTTTATCTGCATTCAGCTATAACTCGTTTATTTCAGACCATCTGTTGATGCAGTCGATATCCTCTTGTAGCTTTCGGGTAGTCTCAGATTGAAATGACGGGTAAATTTGGAATTCATCGGCATATAGGTGGTGGCGGGAGTGTTGAATAGCGTCTGGAAGATCACTAATATAAATAGACAAAAGTGTTAAAGAGAGGGAAGAACCCTGAGGAGCACCTCTTATTAATTGAAGGGGAGACGATGGAGGTTTGGAGGAGTGAAGCAGTGGATTGTTGTACTAGAGTGCTAAGGAATATCAGAGGATTGGATTTAAGACGCTATCTTGTGGTACACCAATGTGTTGGGGGAAGAAGGAAGAAACAGAAGAATCTACGGAAGTACATTAAAATCTGTTAAGATAGAAGGATTGAAGAATTAGAAAATAAGTGGAAGGTAAGTACGGTTTTAGTTTTAATAATAGGCCCTTGTGCCAGACACTATCAAATGTTTTTCTATGTCGAGAAAGACGCAGAGCAATAATCCTTTTTCTCAAAAGTAAGAGAGATAGCGTCTACTATGCGATGGCACTGTTGCAAAGTAGAGTGATAAGAACGGAACCCAAAACGGTGATTTCGTATCACTTCACTACTTTAGAGGATAGGCTTAAGACGGTTCAGGAGTAGTTTTTCAAATAGTTTTCCCATTATAAGGAAAAGTGCTATAGGATGAAGGAGTAGTGGCAGGTTTTGAAGGTTTAGGAATCATTTCAATTTTGGAGAGTTTCCAAAGGAGAGGAAAATCGATAGTGCGTAAAATGGAGTTATAGATAAGGGTAAGAAAGAGAACATCTTTTCGAGGTAGTTGTCAAAGAATAAAGGGAGTGATTAGATCGTAGCTAGGATCTTTTTGTTTGGTAGTCTGTTGATTCCTTTGTAAATTTCATTTAGATGGAATGCCGGTGGGGGTATTGACAGGGGTAGTGGTGTTGTCAATTCATATTCTATTGTGTTAGTGAGGGTATTGTCCCGTATTGTGTTTGTCCCAAATACCTGTGCAAGATATTTAGCGAATTCATTGGCTTTTTCTTCACTTGTTATGGCCCAGACATTGTGTGTACGTCCAAGAACGTACTTAAGGTCTTTTTGCTTTAGTATACGTCTTGTTGTTGTCCATACTGATACTTTTTATTGTTTATTGTGTCTATATAGTCTTTATAGCTGTCGTTTTTAAATGTTAATAGTTTTTCGTTAAGTTTTCGAGTTAGTTTGTTTAGTTCTGTATGATTTATTATGGATATCTAGTTCTTTGCCATAGAGCTCTAATCCTGCTTTCTTCTTTTACAAGATTACGTATTGGCTCATGTAGGTAAGAAGCAGGTTTAGTTTAGGTATATTTAGTATATATCAATATTTAGTAGTAACTATTATTATCTAATTTTATAAATATTAATACTCATAAAAAAAAAATATTCTATTCACTATTTACTCTATCACCGATTCTGATCTTTTTTTGGTTTAAAAAGTAAAATTTCCAACTAGATTCTCAAAGGTTTTTCAGTAACCCCACATTCATTCACGCTGCGTCTTGCACACTTTTCATTTTAAATGCAGAGATTCAGGGGGAAATGTGTGATTTACAAGGAATCACCATATATTTAATGATTTTTTTTGAAACCGATAAAAAAAAAGGATAATCTAAAAGGCAGTCTATCTATGTCAATCTCACAACAACTTTTGATAACATTTAAGCCAGCAACTTAAGAATATTGTAGATGCAGAACGAAAGATTAGCATTAGATAAATAAAAAATATTCAATAAGAACCTATAATTGCTGCTCCTATAATGTTGTCACAAGTTTTTGAAGCAGGATCGGTTTGTAACCACTGCAATGACATTTTCCCTAACGTACAAAGAGAATTTATATGTACAATATGATCAAATATTTTTATTCATATCGAGACAAGATATTTTGCACTCGTATTAAGAACATATATCAGCTCGGTCACAGTTATTAAATTTTTCTTAAGCTACCATGCGGTACTTCCTTACCTCATAGATGTTTATTTTTTTCCTTTTAAATTCATATTTCGTTTAGAGATCATAATATTTTGTAAAGTTCTCAAAACGTTAAAAAAGATGCTTCGTCCACACATAACAAACTGATCAATAAAACAAAATAAAGAAATTTGATACATCTGATACAATAATTTGCAAAAAGAAAATTAATTAAAAATGTGAGAAATGAAATGATCGCGAGTTACTGTTAGTCCGAACGCACAAAAAGGCATCTAGCATACCATAAGGTAGTTTCAGAAGATAGAATAGTTTTTAATTCCACTTATCATGTTGAAATATGAAACTACTGTTTGCCCAACAAAGATATTCTAAATCTTTTTATATGACAGAGTTGAATTTATGAACCGTTAGAAAAAAAAAATGAAGTTACAACAAGTGCACAAAGTTCTTAGTTATTTAAGGCAATGAAATGTCACTGGATGACTTTTTTCAATAAACCTACGATGTATAACAGTGGAAGTATTAACAGCTTTATTATCAATGAATGTCGCACAGTACTAATTAAATATACAATCATCCAGGTATACAGGCAATTAAAGAAAAAGTCTTACCTCACAGTTGACTTCGTTAACATAATTGAAGATGGCGAAGTTCTCGTCCTCTTGTACCAGATACAGATCGGCCATTGCGTTGGGGTCGGAGATATCCGGGAAATAGTCAAGTATCTTCTCCAACACCTTTTCCAGCCTCCTCACCTCACCTTGCATCAACTGCCGCTTATTTTCCTCCTCTTCGGCACGCGCTGCGTTTCCTCCTCGTTCTTGGCCTTTCTTTGTCATGAAGACAGCGCTCCTGATGTTGTCTTCCAGTTCTCTTTCCAGATCTCGCATCCCTTGCCCGTGTTTCTCCTGCAAGACCACTCTCTTCCTCCGTAGGAGTAACAGTTTTCCCTGTGCTTCCTCCCTGTAAAAATGAAAAAGTATTTTTTTATTCTAATGAAATTATAAATACAATATTTTGCATTGTCCAACAAAACAAAATAAGCGACATGAAAGTGGAACTGACCTATGTTCAAAGGCAACAGTTCCCTGCTCCATAAGATCGTGTATGAAGGCCTTGCCAGCACTGAGCCTAGAAAGGAGTTCATCCAGTTGCCGCTTGAACCTCTCTCTCTCACGAAGAAGGCTCTCCATCTCTTCCCGCATGTGCCTGTTTTTGGTCATCAGTTTGTTCAACCCAACAGTTTCCTGTGTATATAATAACGGCGATATAAACCGTTAGTAAGTTTGGAATCAATGCTTTGTTTACCCAAAACAACTTATAAACGTAACTGAGAATAAATGAATCATTTTCTGGTTTCAACGAAAATAAATTAATAATAATAATTTTTTTATACGATAAGCGCCAGAGTGTAGAGAGTGACAGCAGATAGTTAATTGCTGAAAGTGACTCGATTAAAGAGGAAAGTTAAAACAAGAACCAAGATGAAATCAAGATTATAAATTTTTGAGTATTGGTCATATCGGATTAATTCGTGCTTTTGAAAGAAAGGAAGAAAGTAAATTTGATTCTGGGACATTTAATCTCATTAGAATAACTATAATGAGCAAAGAAATGACAATTAAAAATAAATTAATTTACAAAGTTGTCTAACCTCTATCAGATACTTGGATCCAATGAGAATGGCTTTCGTCTACTCAACATTCAATTTTAGATCATTGTTAGTTGCCAAGGTATTAATACTGTCGATGTCTCCTTGTAGCCTTCGGATCACCTCAAGCATTTTGGCAGGATTGTAGAAAGGTAGATTTGGAGATCGTCCGCATATAAATAGTGGATGGAATCGGGAAGGTCATTAATATAGATGGATTTAGATAAAATCCATAAATTTTGAAAAAAGGCTAACAGGCATCGGTAAGCGGAACATAATGACGATACTCAGCCAGTCTCTCTCGTATGCAGAGGATATCGTCCTCATTTGTGATAAGAAATGAAACTACAACAAGTTTTACTAGAATGGTGGTAGGAACTTCAGCGAAAAGAGATGATCGACAAGGACGATGATGATAGACAAGGAATGAAGTCTCACTGAAGTTCTCGAAATGGTTTAGAACTTTAACTGTTTAGGTATCAACATGAATATATAAGGCAAAATAAATTGGGAAGTAGCAAATAGAATTGCTAAAGCCGACAAAATCTGTTATAGTATATGCAACAGCACTGTTGGTCATCGAGAAACGGGACAAACAAACAAGCTCCATATTAACAAATCATCAACGAGAACGAAATCATCTACGAGCGCTGGGAAGAATCCACACTTGAAAAAAGACAATTAGGTGGTTCGGTCATGTTTGTCGAATGAGCAGGGACTGGGAATACATATAGGTAATACTGGCAAGAAGCATCTACTGGCAAGAGGCCACGAGGAATGTCTAGAATTTTTCATAAAGAGTATATTCAAATGATTGGAGGAAAAACTCTTCAACAAATCAAGGGACTGTCTTTGCAGAGATAGTGAGGCTTGGCAAAGATGGATTGAAGCCCATACACGCTACATACTTGTGCCAACAAGTAGTAAGATAGAGTAGAGTAATTTGTGAAAAAAGGTAAACAAATTAATAATTCGTGAAAAATTATTAATAACACAATAATACTGGAATGACTTAATATGGTTACGATTATCTATATATAAAGTTTTAAAAGTTATTATATTAACAGCAATATCTTAGTGAACTTGTTATTTATTCATTAAAACAAAATAAAAAAACTCACCATACCCAACTGTGATTCAAAATAAGACACTTTGGACATCATATCTTTCAGTGCCTCTTGCTTCGCTTGCCTGTCGATCCGTTTTAATCTCATGTGGTCAACACTTGATTCGTGAGTAACTATCTGCGATGAAAGGTTTAATAACTGCGAACGGGATTTCTTCAATTCGTCTTCAAACAGCGTCTAATAAAAAGTACTATATTTATATTATAATGCTGCTGTTATAATTACTTAATGCTTAAAATTAAAACAGTTGTTATGTCAGTATTATTTACAGACATCAAATTGGCTAGTAAAGAAACCACAACTTGCGCCGAACCCCAGGCATGAAAAGATCTGTTTTATTAAGTTAAGTATTATGAAAGTAATACCGGCCGGAAATCAGATATGACAGGAGATGGCCGAATAAGCAGAAGGTTGTTCTTCATAGGTCCTTGGTAATGCTTCATAACTTTTCATAATTGAGTCCAAACAAACTTCCGCTGAGATAAAAATATATACGAACCAGTTCACGGGGAAGTGCAAATGCAGGATTTTTCGTCTCAACAGCAGCAAAATGGCTTCAAATACATCATACCACCTGTTCATTCGTTCATGGTGACACATCACCATGTTATACAAAAAGGGAAAGTTGTTACCAGCTACATTTTGATGCGACGTAAGGATATAAGGATTGGGCAAATTCATTGTTTAATGACGAAGCTGTCAGCAGGTGGCAGAGAAAGAGACTAAGTTGTTCTTCAATATATATGAAGCCCCACATAATACATGTTTGCTAAACTTTCATTGGATTGACGCCTATTACGTATGATTCAAACATGAGACCAAAGAGACTCTCTACCTGCTACAGATAGAGCAGCAACGCAATACTCACCGGACTTTCCTTCAGAAACAGCTGTAGCGAAGAAATGAAGAAATATTGGATTGGAAACCTAAGCTCAATTTAGTATCTATCACAATCACCCATCCTGATTAAATTATCACATGTCAGTGTACAACAGTGAGCAAAAAAGTGGATATTGAACAACAGGATTCAGATGCATTACCGCTGCCTTGAAGACTGCTTTAACAGTCCGTCTGTTGAGGAAGATGAAATGGCAATCGACATATTTTGAAATTTTCTGTTGAAGCCAAATTATACAAAATCTTTGCGGACTCGAATATACATTTAACCAAAAGCTAATACCAATCAATTCGTGACATTCATTATGTTCATTTATTAAACCCTCCCAAATAATTTTCCAAAGTTTCGAAAAGCTCAGATTTATTTTCAGAAAAAAAAAATATTTATTCTGGATTTGTAAATATTTTTTTCTACATGATATTTCGGATTTAATCCTAAATTTTTCTCACTTTATTTTTTTTTTCAATCTTAAAATTAGCTTTATGTTTTTTTCATGTTCTTAGATAAGCTCCAGCATTTGATGAAGAATTAAATCGTTTTTTTCTTTAAGGTGACGCTTTAGGTTCTGTGAATATCTTGCTGTAGGCAGAATCTGCTACTTACGACTTAATTTCTTTGCTTAGCAAAAGTTAATTATTCTAAAGACATTTTCAAATATAAATCTTATTTAGAAGGGAAAGACTAATAAGAAATAACTTCAGAAATGTTTGGTACCTTTAATATTGTATGTTCTATGACAAATCATTGTGTAAATTGGTCTCATCCAGCTGTTTTAGGTTACAATAAACCAAATTTTGAATTACGAGATTACATTAAATATTTTTCCACGGATAATGGATACATACTAACTATAAAATCTTATTTTCTATGCATAGAGAAGAAAACTTTATTTCAAGATTCTATCATGGTAATAATCCAAGAGTTTCGTGACGTAAGATGTTTATCGTCGTTATAAAATATAAAAGACATCAGAATTTAATTGATTAAGCGTTAATGACCATGTATAAAGTGCCGTGTGGCTTGTGGTCGCTAGTAAATCAGGTCACCGTGCTTGTCCGAGATGCGGTCGATTGTGGTGGTATATGCCACACAATTTTCCAGTCATCATATCGATCCAGTATTCAAACACTATTTCTAAATTTAACTAGCCGTAGAATATTTAATTATTGTTTAGTAGACAAAACATAATTCTTATATCTATAAGCATTACTTTGTTAATATCTCTTCTTACAAAAGATGTATTATATAAAAGACAAATGCCTCCTAAATCGTTATTATAGGTATTATGCTCAGGTTTTTGTTTGTTTTTATAAGCAATCGTAATTAATATCCATTTATACTCCTTAGTTTCAGTATAAAGCAGCAACGTAAACCGAAAAATAGGTGTATAAATTAATAATTAGATAAATTTTATATGAATATGTATATTGGTAATGGTTGCTTTGATATAGTGGTACTGGTACACCCCACTCTGAGTATCCATATTTTTATGGGCTCCACATAACGCATTTGTTTCCACAAATGTTATATATACGTATTAACAATTACATGCGTATCCGCTACTTATAGAAACTGGTCAATCAATACCCTATGATATGAAGGCAAGGAGGTTAAGATGGGTGATGCATATAGCTCTGAGCAATCCACCAGGAAGTCTCTGCACAACAATGAATGTCTCTATAGTAGGCAAATGACCACGTGAAAGGCCACAACCAGATGTAAATGTAGAAACTAACGAAGATGCAAAAGATAGAAAGATATAAAAAAGGCTGCTAAAGGCGGCAAAAGACCAACAAGGTCTGTAATGCCAATATAAAAAAAGAATAAAAAATATGTTTATTTAAATTTAATCTATACCATTATTTAAAAGGAATAATAATTCCTCTTTATAAAAGCCATATCATATGACTTTTTGAACATAATAAGATAGAGGAAAAAATTATGCATGAAAAATATAACTCAAAATTGCAACTGATGCACCATTCACAGGTGTCACAGTTATATAGGAAGTGAATTCTATCTCTTAATATAATAATAGTGGAAGAGCAATATAAAGCATTCGGTAAATACCAGACAGGTTTCAGAGGAAGAAAGTCTTTAGGGTTGATCGGATGATTTTGGAGTATATGAAGACGACCCATTACCAGCTTACAGATTTTCGAAGTGTCAACTACAGTTTGAAGAACATAACAACATACTGCCTTGTGTAAACTATGAATCCCTCTGAAAATTCTCCGCTTGATTAAGATGACCATGAAAGCTAGGTGCACTGTGATCGAATGCAACAAGACTTGTCCCCATTTTTCTATAAGAGGTGGGGTCACCATCTCTTGACTGCCTTCTGTTTAACTTGACTCTAAAAAAGGTGATACATGATTAAGGTATTCAGACTAATAACACCATTTGTAACATGCTAAGAAAACTATAATACTTGGCTTTGCAGATTACTTAAACCTAAATGCGCGATCTTTCAAGCCCCTCAAGAATGCATTTAAAAATTGACCGATGTAGCAGAAGCTTATAAGAATGAATATTAACAAGGAGGAAACAAAGAACATTAGTGCATAACCTAGGAAAGAGATAGCAGTTCGGAAACTGGGAATAATAGGTCCATTTACATTCTCATGGTCATGGATCATTTTCTCCTTTACACTATCTTCATCAGAACTATCCATACTTACGGATCGGAAATCTGGATCCTAACAAGCACGGACGAAAAGGAGACCGTCGTCTTTTATCAGAAGAACAGGAATTAAGGTCAGTGAGAACTGGAATAGGAATAAGAATAGCGTTAACAGATCTATTATTTTGTCTGGAGATATTGATGCGACTAAACATATTAAGCATGGAAGACTGCGTTGTGCTGCACATGTTGCCAGAAGAAGGAATTAAAAAAAACTGCTGCAAGAAAAGTTTTATCGGACAAAATGAAATAGAAGATAAATCACCTCAGATGATAGGATATTGTCATCAACTCATTAGGATGCCCGAGATCAACTGAACACCCGAAATTAGAGAGCGAACATACAAGATAGTAATCTGGCAAATGCTTATAGTAAAGACTAACGGCCACAATGGTATGTAGCGCCAGAGTATGATACACAGTACAATTCTGAACTTGTAATAAAGCTTATTGAGTTTGAATATACCTGTTAATTGCAAATGGCAAAACTGAGACCTTTTTCCGTTTGAGAGTGTAGTCTGATTTGAGTGGTACATTCCACAGCAGACAAACTTTCAAGTTGAAGGTAGGTGAGCAGAATAGTCCATCTCCATCGGCCAAATGTTTTTTTGTTTTTTTGTAGTTAATGAAAATAAATGATTTCAAAAGGCTAAAGATTGGATTTTTATGATTGGATTTTCTTGTACTCCCTTGGATTTCGAATTTATCGAGCGTCGACTGTATTGTTTCCGATCTCAGCAGGCCAATGATAGTTCATTTCTTTGAAGACTATGATCACAAAATTAAATTAATATTTATACAGGTTGGGGACGAGACGGATTCAAAAGAGGAAGAGTAGTGGAAGTAAGAAAGATAAAAGTAAAATTATAAGAAGGTTAGCACTATTATATACTTCCTGAGATAATATCTATTATAGGATAATTTTTTTGTAAAAATAGGGGATGTTAAATATAAATTCGATATGTGATTTAAAACTAGATATTGGCCATGCAGATCTTATAGTATGTGCAGATATTTAAATTCCCATGTTAATATTAAGTAGAGCTTTTTAAAGTATTTAAAATACGGTAGACATTACCCAAGAAAAAATAAAGAATTAAAACACAATATATTTTGGAGTATGAAGAGATAGATTTAACTCGTAAACCTTTAAGAGAGTTATGATGGTTTTAACCGATTGCAGATCAGATATTTAACAATGATTAAAAAATAATAATAGTTGACATAATTCGTGTTGTACTGTGCATTATGCTCTTACCGCATATAGGGCTAAGGGCAGTATTTTTATTATCCAATAAAAAGAGTTACCAATAACTTTGCTCACATGAAAAAATAATGCTTTAATCAAAATGGACCAAATATGTAAATTGTGTTCTTACCTTTTGATTTAACAGAAAAATTATTCTTTCATAGAGTCTTTTATTGCCAAATTTAGAAGAAGGAGATGTGATATTTCCATCAACATCTAAATTACATTTTTCCAATCGTAATTGCTCTAACTGTCCCCTGGAATGAAATATACATAGTTATAATTATTTTATTAAAGTTTAGACGGATTATTTTACTGAAATGTACTAAAAATAAGATTTAATTGAAATTTTCATTCAATTATTTCCATTCAACGTAAAAATGTGATATTTTTGTTATGAAATATGACCGATAATGGAGTCACAAATTGAAAAGTTTTCGTGCTCAAAACTTTTATTAAGTATGTGATAAAACTGTATCAAACTTTTCTTGAAACCTTAAAATGCTAAACTTTTGTATGAAATATGTAAATGCTGTAAGTAAAACATAAAATGATTACCATTTTGGAAAAGATCTTGAACCTGGATAAATACCAAACGGATAGAATAACATTT